TAAAACAATACACTCATATAAAATTATAAACCTAAATATATAAGGATAAAAGACAAATATATATATATATATATATATATATATATATCTAGTTTTTTAAATAATTATTTCCATACAGAGAACTTGTTAAGATGTGCGACAAACGCATTAGTTGCAATTTAGTTGCGATATACGAGGTGTCCATGCCCGAGCGCGCTGGTACTAGCTTCGGTTTTTTTAATTTCCGAATGTGTTCTACCACATAGAATTTAACAGAATTTTTGTCAGTAATAGACAAATGTATGGGCTTTCGAATGATGCTAATTAAAAATTAATCCAAAAAAACGAACTGCCCGAAAATGCAAAACAAAAATTTATTTTGGCTTTTTTAACATAATAATTTTTTAACATTATTTTTTAATGATAATCAACACCGATGTAAATAGATTCGCAGTATTTTTTTGTTGATATCTTTTATACTTTAGACAAAAAATGACTTTAAAAAAATGGGCCACTTTCGCATTTTATCAAAGATATCTCGGCCAAAATATCTATAAAATGGCATCAAAATTATTTAAATACCAGGATGGAGCCAATTCTGTATGGAAGCACGCCCATGCCCTTTAGGTAAAAAATAAATATACGTGATAACTTACTAGACCTCCCCTACTTCTTTTAGGCTTTACGTCTAGAGGCATGAATTTTATGCGATTTTTTTAAGGTCGTAAAAAGGGCAATATTTTTACTATATTTAATCACTAATTATTAATTAAAGTTTTGAGAATAAAAAAATAACTAGTTGGTATTGGTATTTTGCCTTGAGGCAAGTTACATGAACTTCCCGATATGTGTGAATAATCGACTTAATCAGTAAAAAACAAATTAATGTATGAGTGATTAAAAGTATTGCGAGTGGATTTATTGCACACTATTAAAAATCGAATGAACACGGTAACGCGAAGTATTTTCTAAAAGCAAATTTTCAAAAATCAATAATTTTTATAAATAAACCAGTATAGTAGAATGATTTAGTATGTTCATTAAGACCAAGTACTCTATCGTTATACCAAATAAATCGTCTAATTTTAAATTTAACAAACGTCAAAAAAACTACTTTCTCAAACTTTGATGAATTTTTAAAACTAAACTACTTATCGTAATGCCATAATATTTCAGTAAGTTCTATAAGACCATGACATATATCGTTAAAAAAAAGTTACATAAAAATCGGCTTAAGATTTTTTTTCAACCGTTAATTACAAGAAAACGGCTCAGTAGATTTTTACCTGAAATTAATGAGTATCATTCTAAACTAATATCTTTCGAACTTAAATGTGGACGAAAAGTTTAACACTTTTATCCCAATTACAAAGAAACGGCTCGGCAGATCGTCTCACAAAACTGACAAACGATAGTCCTCATTGAGATACATCAAATGGCTTTTAAATTTTTGAAACCGGTCCAGCCGTCTTGGAGAAAACGTCGATTTACGGCAAAAAATCTGTTCACATACACATTCTTTTTCCAAATTCGGTCTCATTCTATTCAGAATGGCTTGAAACGTCGAGAAAACATAAAATTAGCGAGTCGGATTTTTTTATGAAAACATAAATTTCTCCTTCGGGAAGTTAAAAATAAAAAACAGTCAAAAAGTTTAAAATTTAGAAGGTGATGAAGTGGGCGGTCTCAAGAAGTTGGCATTTGACTATACACCTGATTTTAGCTTTTCAATTAATCCAAATCCAAACAAAAAATATATAAATATATTATTAATCTAGAATAATGTCGCTATCGTATTAACCATGTATAAACTATGTACGAAGTCAATCAAATATATTTTCACAGAATAGCGACTGCCAAAAAAAAAAATAGTACAAACTTTTATAATCACGTTTTTAAAAGTTTGTAAAACTCTATTCTAAAAATCGGTCTGTAAAAAGAAGCCTGTAAAAAAGAACCTGCAAAATTTTCAAGTAAATCTTGAATTTTCAAGTCTAGTTGAGAAATCGTGAATATCGTATCGTCAAAAACAGTTTCGAAACTAGCTGTAAGTGGAATTCTGTCTTAAGGCAATTAAGGCATCGTGCCTTAAGGCAAATTGCTGGAACTTCCCGTACCAAAAATTATTATTTTTTTAAAAACGATTAACATTTTTGAAAAACAATTACTTTGAAAAAATAAGATTTTTGAGAAACTATAAATTGGACAAAAAATTACTTTTTTTTAAAAAAAAAAATGAAAAAAAAAAAAAATTTAATTTTGACATATTGTGGAAGATCTGAACTTTCTTTTCAAAGCAATCGTACTGCTTTAACTGCATAGGGACAAAATATAAAGCGCGTAAGCGCCGCGTCGCTGTCTAACGCATAAGCATTTTTACGGAACTCATAGGAATGTTAACAAAATGTATACTTATTATTAAAATCTCTATAAAATATCTGATAATTTGATGTGCATATATGTCTAATGATCATTTTTGACCGCCAAATGGCTCATTTTTTTACTTTTTCCTCCATATCTCCGAAACCGCTAGACCTACCTTCATGAAAATTTTATCGATTCTTCATCTTGTCAATACAAGTGAAATGTTTTTTGAATTATTCAAATCGGACGCTCCGTTCTCTTAAAACCTGAGTTACCGTTTTCGGCACTTTTTGCCCCGTATCTTCGGAACGGCTAGACCTGCCTTCGCCAAAAACTAATCAGCACGTCTCCTTATCAATACGAATCGAATGTTTTTTGAATTATTCAAATCGGTTAATCCTTGTTCCCGAAATCGTCGACGAAAATTTGTATCCGCACATACATACACACACGTACATACATACACACACACACACACACACACATACATCCATTTTTTCTAAGGTATGCCAAAATGTTCAGAAACCTCTGAAACGTAAAGATATATAAACATTTTCATTTTCGATTTTTTTGCGATTACTATAACTTGCCCTACGGGAAGTTAAAAATGAAAATTTTTATATATCTTTACGTTTCAGAGGTTTCTGAACATTTTGGCATACCTTAGAAAAAATGGATGTATGTGTGTGTGTGTGTGTGTGTGTATGTATGTACGTGTGTGTATGTATGTGCGGATACAAATTTTCGTCGACGATTTCGGGAACACGGATCAACCGATTTGAATAATTCAAAAAACATTCGATTCGTATTAATAAGGAGACGTGCTGATTAGTTTTTGGCGAAAGCAGGTCTAGCCGTTCCAAAGATACGGGGCAAAAAGTGCCGAAAACGGTAACTCAGTTTTTAAGAGAACGGAGCGTCCGATTTGAATATTTCAAAAAACATTTTACTTGTATTGACAAGATAAAGAATTGATCAAATTTTCATGAAGGCAGGTCTAACGGTTTCGGAGATCTGATGAAAAAAGTAAAAAAAAATGCCATTTGGCGGTCAAAAATGATCATTAGACATATGCACATCAAATTATCAAATATTTTATAGAGATTTTAACAATAAGTATAATTTTTTTTTACATTTCTATGGGTTCCGTACCAATGTTTACGCGTTAGACGGCGACGCGGCGCTTACGGGCTTTGATATTTCGTCTTTATGCAGTTAAAGCAGTACGATTGCTCTGAAAAAAAGTTTAGATCTTCCAAAATATGTCAAAATAAAATAAAACATTTTTTTTTTAAAAAAAAAAATAAAAAAAATTTTTTTTTTTCAAAAAAAAAGTAATTTTTTGTCCAATATATAGTTTCTCAAAAATCTTATTTTTTCAAAGTAAATTTTTTTCAAAAATCTTAATCGTTTTTAAAAAAAAAAATTTTGGTACGGGAAGTTCCAGCAATTTGCCTTAAGGCACGATGCCTTAATTGCCTTAAGACAGAATTCCACTTACAGCTAGTTGATTTTTTTGCGATTACTATAACTTGCCCTACGGGAAGTTAAAAAAACGGGTTTACAATTTCGTGGACGAACAAAACAAAAGATAATTATCATGTCAAATAGCTATACCTCTGAAAATAATTCAAATTTTACAAAATCTTCTTGTACACATATTCTTGAATAGGTGTTGGTAAGGTAAACTTTGAAAATGTTCTAAAGTAAACAAAATCAGTTTTTTTAACTTCCCGTAGAGTAAGTTATAGTAATGGGCCGAAAATCCAAAATGAAAAGTTTTAGATTTCTTCATTCGATTTCTATTGGGAGATGTGCTGGCTAGTTTTTGGCAAAGGTAGGTCCAGCCGTTACGGTGATACGGAGCAAAGAGTGCAGAAAATAGAAATCGAATTTTTGAGAGAACGAAGCATCCGATTTGAATGACTCAAAAAACTTTCGGCTTGTTTTGACAAAGTAATTGCTTTTGGGAAAAAATATTTCAATTTTTTTTTCAATTTTTTTTTTGTATATTGAATATAATTCAGATTTTAATTCTAATTCTGGCTAAAATTCTAAAGGTCACGTATATACACTGAATAAATAATTTTAATTTTGTAATTCAGTTTATATAATTTTATGAATATTAGACAATGCTACAATATTTATAATAATCTATTTAAAAACATTTACTATTTCTCGAACATTTCGCTACGGTACGGGAAGTTCCAGCAATTTGCCTTAAGTTAAATTTTGCCATCACTAGTTAAATTTTTAGATCAGAATACCAAGTTCCGTAATTGCAAAACATTTTATGACTTATTCATAAAATTAACAACTAATTAACGATTTTTATTTTTTTAATAATTGACTAACTAAAAATATAACTTTTTTATACATTTATCATAAAATACTTCTTCAATTTAATAATCAAAGCTCTCAATCTATTTATGTATATTTATATTACAAACAATTCGAAATCGTTCAACCCAACAGCATACAAAGTTAAGCAATAAATGTTTCTTTGAACTAAAAATTTTACATGTTTTAAAAAAATGAATAAAATTTGTTTGATCATATGCACCATAATTAGTTAACAGTAGTTTTCAATTAAGATAATCTATCAATAGTAAAAATAAAATAGAAGAAACTTTAGTATCATCTCGTTTAGCATTTACCTTGCGACAGGGTTTCAATTTCTGCACTTTCCTGAACACGTGCTGTACTACTGGTGCTAGACGTTTCCTTGATGAGAAATTGAACATGGTCGCACTCCTCTTTCGTTTTTAGAATTTCCACAGTCACTTCCGTCGAATGGAGTTTACTAGCCACAGTCTGAGAATAAATTGATATTTGATATGTAATTAAGTCCCTGACAAATACTGTAACTAGAAGAATTAGAGTTAAACGGAAATCAGATGTATTGGAACGTACTAATACTTAAATTGTTTGCGTTCAAATGTTTTGATAGAATGTTAAAAATGCACTTGTATATTGCTATTCTATTATCGTAATGGGAAATAAAAATATAAAAAACAATGTTGCATCGTTTGATGTGATGTGTCCGAACTTAAGGTTAACCCAAAACTTATCTTGACCTTTTTCATCCAATGCTCTTTGAAAATTATGAGCTTTTAAGTACAACTTAAAGCTAACTTAAATCATAAAAATGAATTTGTTTACATAACTGAAAATTTTAGCGCATGTTTTACAAAAAATTTATGTATGTGTGTGTATGTATATATGTGCAAATATAATTTTTTGTTGACGATTGCGGATGGAGATGTGGGGAAATGTGCTGGTTAGTTTTTGAAAAAGACAGGTCCAGCCATATCGGGAATATGAGTCAAAAACGGCCTTTCAGTGTTTGAGAGAACTGAGCCTTTGATTAGAATGATTCAAAAAACATTTTTTTTATATAATACACCGGTTGAAAAGTCTCGAGGCTAACTAAAAAAAAACTCATTTTTTTAACATTTTTTTTTATTCAGTATAGTTTTCTGCAAAGACGATGTACCGATTATTCAAACTTTTCAAAACCATTTCTGTAACACGATTAATACTTGGCCACAAAATTCGGCGATCATCTCTTCATTCGACAAAAAAAAATTTACATCAAGCATTCTTTTGAGATCTGAGAACAGGACATGGTCGCTGGGAAACAGGTCTGAAGAATATTGTGAGTGGCAAAGCAATTCGTATTCCAATTCATGTTTTTGCCACTGATTTCACGTTGTCTTGATAGAACAGCACATTTTTCTCTTTCAAATGAGGCCGTTTTTTCGATTTTGATGTTACAATGCTTCAACAACGGTATACAATAATTACTGTTGATGGTGTGGCCTTTCTCAAGATAGACTATGGAGATCATTTATTGCAAATCTCAAAAATCTGATGCTATAACCTTGCCAGCTGATCGTTTGCATTTTTTTCTCTTCATCGTGTGGGCTACTGGGATGACTGCCTATTTGACTCCGAAGTGTATCGGTGTAGACAGCTCACACCCATGGTAACATACAGATGCAAAAACTTTGTTTTATTTTGATTACAGCTCTAAATACTCTTACAAATCGTCAACTCGATATGCTTTTGTTCAAATGTGTGTTTGCGCGGAACCAATTTTGCACGGAGCTTTTTTATATTCAAATATCATGTTCTATTGATATCTTTAGGATGGGCTATCAGCTATTTCAGGCAGTTTTAATTTTCGATTTTCCAAAACGATTTGGTAGACTTTTTATATTTTCGGGTGTAACCACCACAATTGGCCTCCCAAAGCGTTCAGCATCATCAGTGTCTATATGGTCACGGTTAAAATCAGCAAACCACTTTTCCACCGTTTACCTCGATTTGGCAGAGTCCAGATAATCAACACTCATCAAGTAATACTTTGGCTGTGATGGTATTTTTAACTATCAAAAAGCAATAATAAATCAACACACAAAATTGCTTTGAATCCATGGTTTTGAAAAACTCAAAAGTAGCGTCACTTGAACCTGTGTAACTAGTAAAGTAATCGTCAGATTGTCATGAAAATTTGACGTGTATCGTTTGAAAGTTGGTACGTGCCCAAAAATCATATGGATTTTTTGTTAGTAGAGCCACCAGTGTGTTAGCTTCGGACTTTTCAGCAATTTAAAGAATCAATTTTTGACATTCAATGGTCAGAAATCATTGGTGGACACACACACATATCAAATTATCAGATTCTTTATAGAAATTTTAATGATAACACACTTTGCGTCAATTTTTTAAGCTTTGAATCATATTTTTATTTTTAAAGTTCACTTATAATGTTTAAACAAATGTCCTCTACATGAATCAATCGAATTAAATGATCAAAAAAACAATTTGTTTCGTACTGACTACAAGACATACTGTCTAGTTTTTGCAAAAGGCTGGTGTAACCGTTGAAATAATCATCCGGTTAGAATGATTCAAAAAACATTTTGCTTGGGTTGACGGTGTGCAGAAATGATTAATTTTTTAGGAAGGCAGCTGTTTTAAAATTTTCAAAAAAAATCTTGCTTTAGAAAAAAATTAGTTTTTTTTCAAAATTTCGAAATTGTTCAAATTTTCAAATTATCTTCAACTTTTTCAAAAACTAAAATATTTTTTTTTTGTTTTCAAAAAGCTTCAATGATATCAAATATTCGAAGAAACGCCAAAATTTTCTGAAAAATCGATTTGTTCAGAAATATTTTTGTTTCAAGATGAAAAAAAAGATTTTTTCATAATATTAAAAAAATGTATATTTTCAAAAAAGTCGACTTTTCTTATAAATATTTTTCAATAAAATAAAATTTTATCTTGCTTTTTTATGATGCTTTCATTTATCTCGGTTAGTTTTTGTATCTTGTAAGTTGTTAGTCTCTTGTCGCCTAATTTAATAAGCGTTTATAAATTTACAGTTTATTAATTGTTGATCATTTTTCACTGATTTTTGGTCATTTTTATTTTTTTTTAATTGTTAATTACAGTACGGAAAGTTTCAGTGATTTGTCTTAAGGCACAATGCCAAGTTATAGTAATCGCAAATAATCGAAAATAATTTTTTTATATATCTTTGCGTTTCAGAGGTTTCTGAAGATTTTGGCATACATTATAATAAAAAAAAATGTGTGTGTGTGTTTGGAAAGAAATTTTTGACGACGATTTCGGAATACGAATCAACCGATTTGATAAATTTAAAAACTTTCGATTCATATTAATTGGGAAACGTGCTAATTAGTTTTCGGCAAAGGCAGGTTCATTCGTTTTGAAGATACGAGACAAAAGGTGCCAAAAATGGGAATTGGTAATTCAGTTTTTGATAGAATGAAGCGTCCGATTCGATTGATTCAAGAAACATTTCATATTTATTTACAAAATATAGAACTGACTAAACTTTTGGGAAGGCAGATCTAGCGGTTTTGGATATCCAATACAAAGTAAAAAAATGCGACTTGGCGGTTAAAAATAATCATTATACATATGCACACGAAATTATCAGTTTATCGGCTTGTTTAATTATTTCAAAATAATAGAACATACTCAATGGCGTGGCCAACGTTTCTCCTTTAAGTATTTAATTAGTCATTAATTATTAATGCAGCAAAGACGTCGTCGCGAACTTCAGATCACTAATTTTTATTGTCGAATGCACTCTGTTCAACTGTTGTGACATAAACTAATTACTAAGAAGTTTTCTGTGAGCGTTTTATCTTTTATGAATTTTGAAAAGTTTAGAAATTTTGTAGATAAATAAATAGTTAAGGAGCAGATACTATGGTAAACGAATTAAAAATATTTTTATCTGTTATAAACAAAATTTTGGACCGAGAATGCAGTTTGTGATTTATTGGGAAATGATTGGGAAAGGATTATATCTAATTGTGAAGAAGGAAGTTTCGTTTGTGATGAGCATCCATTGTTCTAATGATGTTATATTAAATTGCTTTAGTTAGTAAATAAATCACTTGTTGATAATATATTATTTATATATGCAATTTCGAAGATTATTTTTTAATATATTGTCCCAATGTTAGCATTGTAGTATAATTTTTTTCGTATAATATTGACAAGCAGATTCTATGATCACATATTTATGATAAAAATTTTATTTCAAATGAGGCAGAGATGTTGATTAATTAATTTTCCGTTGGGTAAGTTATAGTAATCGCAAAAAATCGAAAACTAGAGAGGCGCATGGCATTGTGCCTTAAGGCAAATTGCTGGAACTTCCCGTACCGTAATTAAACATTCGAGGATTGAAAAAAATCAATAATTGTTTTGAAGATTTTCAATTAGATTATTTATTATAAATACGTACTGTAAATTTATAAGTGCTTTTTAAATTGGGCGATGAGCGTATTTTTTAAACATCTTATGTGTACGTTTACAAGAGTACTTACATTTTTTTAAATTTGATTTTTTTGATAATTTAAAATTGTTTTGTTAATTAAGAATTTTTTCTCGAAGTTTAAAACATTTTTGGAGTTTAAAAAAAAGCTTTTTTTTTATATTTTGAGAATTTGGAAATTTTTGAAAATCGATTTTTTTAATGTTCAAAATTCTCACAAATTTTTATAAGAAATCTTTTTTTTTTAATTTTTCAAAGTTTAGTTTTTTTTTGAAAATGATAAAAATTTCGAAAATTTGAATTTTTCGAAACTTTGAATTTTTTTGAATTTTTTTTTTCAAATTTTCAAAATTACTAAATTTTCTGTAGATGCATTTTTTGCACACCATATACTCAAGCAAAATGTTATTTGAATTAATCTAATCGGATAATTTGTTCTCTCAAAAACTGTATACCCGCTTTCACACCCTTTGCGCTCCATACCTCCGAAACTGCAAAATTGCATTTTGCAAAAACGCTTCGCAAAAAGTACGAACCGAATGATTTTTTAACCATACAAATCGGTTGTTCCATACTATCGACATTTGTTTGAACCATATAAATAAACTTCAAAATTTTTAAATCTTGGCACGGAACCCAAACAAATTTACACAAAATGTATACACAAAATTAAAATCTCTATAAAATATTTATAATTTGATGTACATATGTCCAATATACATTTTTGACCGACAAATGACATTTTTTTTAACTTATTTTTATTGAGAGTCCATAACCGCTGGACTTGCTTTCCCAAAAATTGTACCAGTTGTTCATTTCGTCAATACAAGTAAAATATTTGTCGAATTATTGAAATCGGACGCTCCGTTCTGTTAAAATTTGAGTTACCGTTTTTAGCACTTTTTGCCCCGTATCTTTGTAATGGCTAGACCTGCCTTTGCCAAAAACTAGTCAGCACGTCTCCTTATCAATACGAATCGAATGTTTTTTAAATTATTCAAATCGGTTGATCGGTGTTTCCGAAATCGTCTACGAAAATTTGTATGCCAAAACGTAAAGATGTATAAAAAATTTCATTTTCGATTTTTCTGCGATTACTATAACTTGCCTTACGGGAAGTTAAAAAAGAGCTTTCAAAGTTAAAACTGTAAGTGTATTTTACTTTAAGGTAAGTTGCTAAAACTGTTCTATATTTCTAAATAATCTACTTAATTAATAAGAATTGGTATTTAGCAACTTCTAAAATTATGATCATGAAGTTTTGAAATATTGACACAGGCTATTTCAAACTTTGATGCTATAATCAAACCACTTTTTGTAGAATTACAATAATTTAGAAATATCACAATACAAAGTTTTATCAAACTCGTCAAAATAAAAATTGATTATTTACCAACTGATATTTTTTGAATAGTTTTTGTAATTTCAAATACGTTCAGAATCTTTGCAAAGACGTGTGCAAGAGTGTACTCTTTTTTGTTACTCCTTTATTGGTTCTGCGTTTTTGAGAAAACATCGACAAAACGTCAAATTATGACCCATATAGATGAACACACTCATATTATTTCCGATTTTCAGTCTTAAACGATTCAGAATGACTTAAAACGTCGAGAAAACATAAAATTAGTGCTTTGGATTGTTTGACGAAAACAGAAACTTCTCCTTCAGGAAGTAAAATTTTAGAAAGTTTAGGAAATTAAAATTTTTAAGGTGAAATCCAAATTAGCAGTACTATTTTTAAAATTACTATCTGCTTTGCACCATTTCTCTGTGAATTTCATATTTAAATTTTTGAAGTAAAACTTCTTTAGGCGAGACTGGGGTGTAAATCCGTACAAATGCAACGGAAATGCGTTACGGCAGATGAGATAAGATAAGAGTCGAGTGCCAATGATTCGTCATTCGCTCTCGATGATATCATTTCTATACGGGTCGATTGTGATAAGTCGTCTCGTATGTGAATAGAGATCTGTCGTTGTATGCGTACCGGGTTCAACGTAGTATGAGTACCGATATCAACAAAGAAATTGGCATAGATAAATAAACATTTTAAAGTTACATCGTAGTACAATCTTGATTTAATGAAAAATGCCTGGATCAGAAGAATATTTTACCCTGTTTCTTGAAAATATTGATTAATAAGATTAATGATTAGTAAGTTTATTGATTAGAAATTATTTCTATATTATTCGTAGTTTCTATAAATTTTTGAAGTTATTAAAATTGAAAATAATTTTTAGGCAAGACAGATATTACAGCAGTTCAAAGAATGAGATTATATCGCCAGCGAAAAAGTAAAAAAAATACAAGCAGTCAATGAAAGTATGTTAATTTTAATTACATGAAGTTCTTCAAACACAATTACATGATGAGTGAAGTTGCGAAAACAATATTTGTTTAGGCGTTGTTCACTGTGTAAACGAATATTATAAAAGTTATTAATCAGCAATTACTTTATTTCTCTAATGAAGGTTCATTTGTAAATGCTAATTACAAAGACAAACCGATCATGTCATATTTCAAGTATGACTTTAATTACATTATTAACTTTCCGCAGGGTAAGTTATAGAATCGCAAAAAAATTGAAAATAAAATAGTTTATATATCTTTACGTTTTAGAGGTTTCTGAACAATTTGGCATACCTTAGAACACACGGATGTATGCGTGTGTGTGCGGATGCAAATTTTTGTCGACAATTTCGGGAATACGGTTCAACCAATTTCAATTATTGAAAAAACAATCGATCGCTGTTGATATGAAGACGTGCTGATTAGTTTTTGGCATAGGCAGGTCTAGCCGTTTCAAAGATACGAGCCAAAAGTGCCATAAACGGTAACTCAGTTTTTAAGAGAACGGAGTGTCCGATTTTAATAATTCAAAAAACATTTTACTTGTATTGACAAGAACAACTGATCTGAATAAAGAAAACATTTTTATTCCAAAAGTCTTTTTTTCCAAAAATTTTTTTTTTCAAAAATTTATAGTTTCTCAAAAATCTAATTTTTCAAAGTAATTTTTTAAAAAAATGTTAATCTTTTTAAAAAAAATAATTTTTGGTGCAAGAAGTTCCACCAATTTGCCTTAAGACACAATGCCATGCGCCCCACTAATTGTTTTTAAATATTATACATATTTTTTTAATGTTAATATAAATTTATAATTTATCATTATACAAATTTGTATAATGGTTGACACTAATGAACGTGTGCACCACGAGTGTTACTATATTACTAACAAACATATTCAAAATTGTTATATAATGTATTTATTTTTACTTAAATGCCATCTTGTACAGTAGCAAATAAGTTTTATTTCAATCGCGTGTGAACCTTACGCGCACTCTTTTTTTATTTTATGACAAGTTTGATGGAACAACACTAATTCTCAATAATTTTACTTACCTTGACAATTCCTATGACAATGTGCTCCAATCCAGGTCTATCTGAGTAATAATGCAATATCAGGGCCCCATCCTCCGGGCGCTCCGTGCAGCGAAATGAGGGCGCCCGCATGCCTGGGTAGAGGGTACCTAAATGATCATGAAGGGCGTCCAAATTCTGAAAAAAGTAACAAATTTAGAATTAATGAAGCACTTTATATTAAAGACATAGAGAAGGGTATATTGGCATCGCCAGGCGGAGACCATGTCCCTGAGGTTCTTAAAATTGAAAACTGTTTCTATCCACCTCGGGGGCAATGAGAAACATTGTGTGTCAGAAAAGGAATATTTATGATACTTTTAAAGCAAAAGCGTTTCATGATAGTATAAAACATGATTTTGCTCTAATTTATTATAATAGAGGTATGAAATTTTCTGCGCAGACAAAGCTAATTTAATTTTATCTTGTATCAGACACTTATAATGAAATTAGTTTCACTGATCTTTATGAAACGCTAAATTTAATAATTATCTCTGATTTTATTAAAAAGTTACCTCAAATGCTTCGTAGTTTAGTTATTGAGTTTAGTAATATTTCACTCTTATAGTATTTGAGCAAATGACAATTTCTGTGGTTTATGCTCAAAAATAGGTTTGATAAGTTAGGTTAGGTTATTTTTTTTTTTTTTTTTTTTTTATTTTATTTTTATTCTGCAATCTATAAAAATAATTATATTTAGCAGAGAATGCTGACAAGTGTTAGGTTATTTTAAATCTAGAATTTGATAATTTGTACTTTACAACAATTTTAGACTATTTTGGTTTTATAAATAAAACTAACCTGTAAAAAATCTCTAGGCGTCGCCCCAAGCACTTGAAGGATTTTATCATAACCAGAATCTTGGCAAAATTCGAAAAAAGTTTTACCAAATAGTTCCAATATTGCTGTAGCTGGTATCTCTAAAAATGTTAATAATATGTATAATTGAATATGTATGTATTATTACAATTTTTTATTATAGTTTATAAATATTTACGTAATAATTCGACTGCGGCTCCTATAAGGTTGTAAGTGATTTCATCTTCGTAGATTTGACGGACGAGAAACTGTCCTTCCATTGAAACTTCTGCATTTTTTCTATGAAACAATTTTTTTATTAGGTACGATGTGTATATGTTTTTACTAAAATTTGACCGATTTTAGCGACGACGAGTTAGATTTCACGCGATAAGCAAAATTATATGATACAGAGGAGCTAGGGGCTGAAATGGGGGTAGCTAGTAACAGGCGTTTTTCGATTGGATATATAAACCTTCCCCCTGCACCTACATTATCTTATTATAGTCTTTGTATCGAAGGAGATCGCAGTAAACAGAACTGAACAGGTGCGTCATTTATGTTAGGTAATATAAAATTGTACTCATGAAATTATACGTAATAAAATTTATTGCGTTATTGTTATCGATTTATTTTAAATTTTGTACGTCTTATTATGTTTTAAATTTATCAATGTTTGATAATGTGTAACATTTTTGTGATTGCTAAATGGTTCAAATTGTTCTCTTGATTAATGTGAAGAAATCACACCTGGGGTTAGTTGAAACAAGAAAGAATTATATACAGCTTCAAGTGAAGATGAATGTGTAGTTTGTAGGATGTGTTAAGTTAAAGGAAACATATATATTCTTCTATTATATATACATTAAATATTTTATTTGCATTAATTATAGTTTGTTTTGATCTATGAAAAATACTTAAAAACAAGTCAATATTCATAAAAATAAAGAAAAAAATAAATTGTCAGAAATATCATTGTCGTTTTATTTGTCATTGCTACTTGACTTGGTTGATGTTACAAAACTAGCCTTTATCACGGGGCAGCATTTTTTCTCTAAAATGATTAATTGTGAAATAATGAACAGTTACGAAATTATTTTTACTTAATTCGTTAGAGAAATAGTTACAGCAACTATCCATCTTTATTCTGTAGAAATATATTGAGTGGATCTCAAGTTATATTAATAAAAAAAAAAAACAGTTACAACCAGCCCCTGGCTCCCCTATTGGAATTTAGCGTTATTCGGTTACTACGATCATGCATTGCTGTTTATAATATTTGGACTCTACTATAACGTATATATGTAATAGAATTGCTTACTTATTTTTGAATTGCTTACTTTATTTTTTCCCATGTTTCTTCTCCAAACGTCTTCACAACTAACAGCTCCAAAGCGTAGTTTACGAATCCGTACTGAAAAATAAAAATAAATTTATTTAAGATATATAATATATAACATATTCTATGCTTTTTGAATTTCTGAGTGCAAATCTTTCTTTTATCTTCATAAATATTTAATTATGTTTTTTTTTTTCAATTATTTTCGTGAATATTTTTTTTCAACGATTCGGGAATACGGGATGTCCCCGTCTTCAGAAACTATAGAAAACAAATATAGAAAAGATTATTATACATTTAAATGTGTATTTTATTATTATAAAATTAAAAGAATTACCTTAATGTCTAAACATTTTTGAATTTATACACTGTGTTTGAAAATACATCGAGGAAAAATATCTGCACACTTCTGATTACATTTTTCAAAAATAAAAATTTTCGTCCCTATGTTAACAAGTGTTTTATTCTGTCGATATACATGTTAATCATTTGTAACCTTATTAGTATGTACAATTTTTTATGTTATTAGTGTGTGTAAGTTTATCCTATACATATAGGCAATTTAAATAATCTGTATATCTACACCTATATCATATATAACCATATACTCTGTCCTTTAAATACAAAAACCAATGAGAATACAGATGGTAGACATATATACCATCTAAACTAAACATCTGTAATTTAATGCAAAAATTTTATTTTTAAAAAGTATTCTGAAGAGCGAATGCCTATTTTCTCGTTGTATTTTCAAATATAGTTTTTGGTGTGTTTTGTCGCGTTTGACTTAGAAAATATTTAGTCCTTAGATAAAAAGTGATTTATTTCAATTTTTTAATAATTAGTAAGTGTATAAATGTTTAATAACAATATTTTACATTTGTTATCAATAGTTTTTGAAAAAGAGTATATTCTAATAATAAGTAGTACTTATCCAGAAAACTTAAACAGTTTGTTGAAATAAAGAGTTCGTTTTTGTTCGCATCTTATGGTAATTAAAAAACTCACACACATATAGCTCAAATCAAGTGGTTTAGCATGATCTCTCTAAAATCTAAGAGTAAACACTACTACATTTATTATACAAATTCAAAAAATATTTTCAGTAATTCTAGTTATAAAATTGTGTTTTAAAGAGATTTTTTGTGTTTAACAAATAGATTTTAAAATATTTTAATCTGTGGTACAATTCAAAGTCACAAATTCCCAAACCCATAATTTTATGCTTGAAATAATACGTATGATATAGAAGGTTTAGACATAACTTATAATTATATAAGATCTCATAATCTTATAAGCAAATAATTATAATTATATAAGATCTTTTAATCTTATAAGTAATCTTGTCAATCTTGATATAAAAACCAAAATCGAATAAATTTATTAATTCTGAAAGAATAAGCGTTGTTCCATACTCTTATAAGACTGTTTTCGCCCTCTGTCTATAAATTATTTGAATCTATTCAAAATTAAACTTGTTTCAAAAGATGTCAGTGAAAACCACTTTTTTCAGTTTCTCAAATAGAAATATATAGTATTTTCAAAAACTATGCGTGGATTGATAAAGTAAATATGAACGTGAACGTGAAACTGTCTAATTCAGACATGCTCTAAGATTTTATACGAGAACAAGATCCTCATTTACAAAGCAGTAATAGTGCCAATATGAACATTCGGTATCGAGCTGTGGGCATGTGCGAGCACGTCCAATATAAAAATCATCCAAAGACTATAATCAAAATTATTATGAGCCAAAGTAAACGAGCCTTGGTGTATCTTCAACGAAAAAAATCACCGAGATCTAAACATCAAATATGTTCAGATGGTTATCAAAGAAAGAAGCATGAAATATCATCAAAAGGCCAAATACCATCCAAACACACTAATAAAAGATCTGCCAAAACAAGTTTTCATCAGAAGACTGAAAAAAAAGTGACCGCAAGATCTAAAAAATTGACAAATAAAATATTTATATAAAGAAATTCCTCAATGAAGTAATTTCTAATTGCTCTGTACTCTACAGCAAAGAACCTCATTGAACAAAAGGTTCAGATTCATTATGAGAATTCAAGAAAAATATCTCGTTTGTCTAAAAATATTAACATGGTAATAAGTGATTGTGATAAATATATAAATATGAGCAAGAGAAGGGCATCCAGAATACTATCTTCATCTTCAGATGAAAGAAATCTTTGTGTAAATAGTGAATAGGATGAATGATCAACTGATGAAAAATATTTAGAGTCGAAATCACTGAATAAGAATGTTGATGAAGAATGGCAGAGCGTAAAAGAAAGAACTTCTACAAAAAATGAATATTCTAGAAATGAAGAGTTTTTACATGAAAATATTGACTGCAATAATGCATTTGCTTAATATAAACTTTTTTTTACAGATTACATATTAGATCTGATAATTGGAGACACCAATAAGTATGCTACACAATGTATAAATGGTTCATCATCTAGCAATAGAATGCATCTGCAACCTTGGCAGTCTGTGATCTAAACATCAAATATGTTCAGATGGTTATCAAAGAAAGAAGCATGAAATATCATCAAAGGCCAATACATCCAAACACACTAATAAAAGATCTGCCAAACAGTTTTCATCAGAAGACTGAAAAAAAAGTGACCGCAAGATCTAAAAATTGACAAATAAAATATTTATATAAAGAAATTCCTCAATGAAGTAATTTTAATTGCTCTGTACTCTACAGCAAAGAACCTCATTGAACAAAAGGTTCAGATTCATTATGAGAATTCAAGAAAAATATCTCGTTTGTCTAAAAATATTAACTGGTAATAAGTGATTGTGATGAATATATAAATATGAGCAAGAGAAGGGCATCCAGAATACTATCTTCATCTTCAGATGAAAGAAATCTTTGTGTAAATAGTGAATAGGATGAATGATCAACTGATGAAAAATATTTAGAGTCGAAATCACTGAATAAGAATGTTGATGAAGAATGGCAGAGCGTAAAAGAAAGAACTTTTACAAAAAATGAATATTCTAGAAATGAAGAGTTTTTACATGAAAATATTGACTGCAATAATGCATTTGCTTAATATAAACTTTTTTTTACAGATTACATATTAGATCTGATAATTGGAGACACCAATAAGTATGCTACACAATGTATAAATGGTTCATCATCTAGCAATAGAATGCATCTGCAACCTTGGCAGTCTGTTATAAGTGATGAAATGAATACTTTTAGTGGCATATTGCTCATCATGGATATAGTGCAATTACCAGAAATTCGTTTGTACTGGTCTAAAAGCGACATGTACGCGAACGAGACGTGATGGATTTTTATCTATACTAAAGTATTCATATTTGCGGATAAAACTAGAGCCACTCCAAACCAATTATACAAAATTCATAACATTGTAGAAGCAATTGTGCATACTTTCAAAAAATTTTATCGATGAGGATATGGTTCCGTGGGGAGGACTTCTAGGTTTTCATCAAAACATCCCAAGGAAGCGACTCATGTATGGCATAAAATTGTATAGATTATATTTATCGGAAGGCTACACATATAATATCAAAATGTATGCCAAAAAAAAATAATACGATGATCGAAAAATGCCATTTTTAAGATGTAGTAATGAGATTACTAAATGGCTTGTTATTTGAGAGGCGCACACTCTCAAATTCATTGATAGTTTTTACACTAGTGTCGCTCTAGGTCAACATCTATTGGATAATACTACATTTGTGTGTGGTACAGTAAAAATTAACAGAAAAAACTTATCACCCTAGACCAAACATAAGCAAAAACGTGGCGAATTGATAAATCTGGAAAATCGCAGCGGAATAAAATTTTTATAATGAATAGATAAAAGATGTGTGCAAAGTATGCTGACAACTTCAAACCATCGTTGATGCAATTTGATACAAGCAACAAATGGCAAAATAAAGCCATTATAAGTATTCGATTATAACAATGCAAAAAAGGCGTAGACGTCGGAACAGCTGTCGGGTTATTGACCATTAAATGGTATAGAAAAATTCGGAACTTTTTCTGCGAATGCGTAGTAATTTGAACTGTAATTTGAATTGTAATTTGAACTGTAATTTGAATATATTCAAATTCAGAGAAATAATTATTGACCAGCTTTTTTAAAAAAAACAAGTTCAGTATCATACTTCATCAAATAAATACATTCTAAAATCATATAAAATCGACAAGGAAGTCTCATAAAATAATAAAAAATTGCTACAAAGATTTAACTTTAACTAGGAAAAGGGCAGGGCAGATGCAGTCAATAAAGCAAAAGGGTTAAACTTATTTTGCGCATTGCAAGAGTCAACCGGCACTTTGTTTACAGCGTTGCAACAAATTGCACAAATAGCACAAATAGCTTGTTAACTTCCCGTAGGGCAAGTTATAGTAATCGCAAAAAAATCGAAAATGAAAATGTTTATATATCTTTACGTTTCAGAGGTTTCTGAACATTTTGGCATACCTTAGAAAAAATGGATGTATGTGTGTGTGTGTGGTGTGTGTGTATGTATGTATGTATGTATGTATGTATGTATGTATGTATGTATGTGCGTGTGTGTATGTATGTGCGGATACAAATTTTCGTCGACGATTTCGGGAACACGGATCAACCGATTTGAATAATTCAAAAAACATTCGATTCGTATTAATAAGGAGACGTGCTAATTAGTTTTTGGCGAAAGCAGGTCTAGCCGTTCCAAAGATACGGGGCAAAAAGTGCCGAAAACGGTAACTCAGTTTTTAAGAGAACGGAGCGTCCGATTTGAATATTTCAAAAAACATTTTACTTGTATTGACAAGATAAAGAATTGATCAAATTTTCATGAAGGCAGGTCTAACGGTTTCGGAGATCTGATGAAAAAAGTAAAAAAAATGCCATTTGGCGGTCAAAAATGATCATTAGACATATGCACATCAAATTATCAAATATTTTATAGAGATTTTAACAATAAGTATAAATTTTTTTTACATTTCTATGGGTTCCGTACCAATGTTTACGCGTTAGACGGCGATGCGGCGCTTACGGGCTTTGATATTTCGTCTTTATGCAGTTAAAGCA